GGAGGGTTTGGGGAAGGTCCGGGTGATCCATCGCGGGGGGAGGGGGGGAGAGGGGGCTAAAAAAGGTAAAAAATCCCGATTTAAGTGCTGGGAATTCCCCCAGGGGGGGTGAATTTAACTGTTCTGAATTCCCCCAAAAATACCCAAAAAATGTGAATTTAACTGTTCTGAATTCCCCCAAAAATACCCAAAAAATCTGAATTTAACTGTTCTGAATCCCCCCAAAAAAAACCAAAAAATATGAATTTAACTGTTCTGAATCCCCCCAAAAATACCCAAAAAATCTGAATTTAACTGTTCTGAATCCCCCCAAAAAAAACCAAAAAATATGAATTTAACTGCTGGGAATGCCCCCAAAAAAATCTGAATTTAACTGTTCTGAATCCCCCCCAAAAATACCCCAAAAATCTGAATTTAACTGTTCTGAATCCCCCAAAAAATCCCAATTTAAGTGCTGGGAATGCCCCCAAAAAATCTGAATTTAACTGTTCTGAATCCCGCCAAAAAAACCCAAAAAATCTGAATTTAACTGCTGTAAATCCCCCCAAAAAATACCCTAAAAATCTGAATTTAAGTGCTGGGAATTCCCCCAAAAAATCTGAATTTAACTGTTCTGAATTCCCCCAAAAATACCCCAAAAAATCTGAATTTAACTGTTCTGAATCCCCTCAAAAAAACCCAAAAAAATCCCAATTTAAGTGCTGGGAATGCCCCCAAAAAATCTGAATTTAACTGTTCTGAATTCCCCAAAAAAACAAAAAAAATGTGAATTTAACTGTTCTGAATCCCCCCAAAAAATCTGAATTTAACTGTTCTGAATTCCCCAAAAAATCTGAATTTAACTGTTCTGAATCCCCCCAAAAAACCCCAAAAAATCTGAATTTAAGTGCTGGGAATGTCACCAAAAAATCTGAATTTAACTGTTCTGAATTCCCCCAAAAATACCCCAAAAGTCTGAATTTAACTGTTCTGAATCCCCCCAAAAATACCCCAAAAAATCTGAATTTAACTGTTCTGAATCCCGCCAAAATACCCCAAAAATCTGAATTTAACTGCTGGGAATGCCCCCAAAAAATCTGAATTTAACTGTTCTGAATCCCCCCAAAAAATACCCCAAAAATCTGAATTTTAACTGCTGTGAAACCCTAAAAAAATCCCAATTTCCCTGCTCTGAATGCCCAAAAAACCCCTCATAACCCCACCCAGGACCCCCGGAATTTTTGGGAATTTCGGGATTTTTTGGGAATTTGGGAATTTTGGGAATCCCACCTGATCCTCTCGGAGTCCGAGGGGTGCGGCATGTGATGCCAAAATACCCCAAAAATCCCAATTTCGCTGCTCTGAATGCCCTGTAACCCCCCATAACCCCACCCAGGACCCCCCAAATTTCGGGATTTTTGGGAATTTCGGGATTTTTTTTTAAATTTTGGGAATTTTGGGGACCCCACCTGATCCTCTTGGAGTCGGAGGGGTGCGGCATGTGGTGCCAAAAATCCCAATTTCCCTGCTCTGAATCCCCAAAATCCCACCGTAAGCCCCCCGAATTCGGGATTTTTTTGGGAATTTCAGTAATTTGGGAATTTCGGGAATCCCACCTGATCCTCTCGGAGTCCGAGGGGTTTGGCATGTGGTGCCAAAATACCCCAAAAATCCCAATTTCCCTGCTCTGAATGCCCTGTAACCCTCCATAACCCCACCCAGGACCCCCCGAATTCGGGATTTTTTCGGGATTTTTTGGGAATTTCGGGAATCCCACCTGATCCTCTCGGAGTCGGAGGGGTGCGGCATGTGGTGCCAAAAATCCCAAT